TAGCCTAACGTGGGATTATTACCTAAATTGTGCTGAAATTAGCACCAGTCTTATTTCGATAACTGGATGTATTAGAAGAAAATTGAAAACAGATGTGTAATCAGTGTGCAAAACTGGTCTATAAAATAGGGGGGAAAAGTTCGATTTTGTCGACCAGTGTAATGAAAGGAAGTACCCTGTTGTGTAAAACGTATTTATTGTCGTATACAGAGCATAATATCTGTAGTTGCAACGTTTCGATAACTGGATGTGCTAGAAGAAAATTGAAAACAGATGTGTAATCAGTGTGCAAAACTGGTCTAGAAAATAGGGGGGAAAAGTTCGATTTTGTCGACCAGTGTAATGAAAGGAAGTACCCTGTTGTATAAAACGTATTTATTGTCGTATACAGAGCATAATATCTGTGGTTGCAACGTTTCGAAAGGTTAACCTGGCATCATCAGATAGTTGTTGAATTTGATGGTGTCAGGTTGGCCCGGTGAAACGTTGTAACCATAGGTATTATATTCTGTATACGACAATAAATAAGTTTTAAGTACTTATCTTTACGTTGTAGAGGATCGATGAAGAAAAAAGAAAAACTAGAGAACGCAAAATGCAGGTCTTTTACTCTGCTTTGTGCTGTCCATATCGATAAATTTAAGTTGGGGCTCGATTTTGCCGTGACATATTAACCTAAATGCAATAAAACAAAAGTGTCTGGAAAAACAAAACATTAGAATGTAGAGCTCTGATAATCATTTGAGTCAGTTGTACCTTTATAGTGATATTTCACAATTTGCATATTTATTGGCCAATTGTCTCTCTTTAAAATCCCCCTGTTGGAAATTGTAAGCATTATATCAAAACTGTATTTATTTATTAATAAGCTTTCATATTCTGGAATCTGACGAAATGGGTAAGATAAAATTCTGTCTTGTGAATTATTGCATTTTTATAAATTTAATATATTTACTGCTGGAGCGTATACTTAACAGTTATTTTTTATTCTGTCTTGTGAATTATTGCATTTTTATAAATTTAATATATTTACTGCTGGAGCGTATACTTAACAGTTATTTTTTTTTCTGATTCTTGAGTTACTATGGTTTCTGTTGTTGTACAATGTACAAAACAGTCATGGTGTCGTTTTCGGTTATTAAATCAGTTCACGGAACAAGTTAAACCCCAATCACTTGTTTGACTTATATTTACACGTAATGCACTTAATTTATTTTCCCCAGTCAAAACTAACGAAATTTCATTTCTGTTTTTAGTCCCAGAATTAGCACATTTAAATAAATATTGTACATATATTAAATGGTTTTGTATCCTTTTTGTCACTAAGTCTTGACAAATGTTTAAAAGTCTGGTATTTACCGTTACCCTATCAATACTATTAAGCATTTTTTTACATTGTTTTGCCTTAAATCACTAAATTAATAAGCGTCAAAAACTTAATACACAGAACTGATTTCATATGATCATCTGATAATAATTTATTCTGAGAGAGAGAGAGAGAGAAAGAGGAAAGTTGCATCATGTTTAAAGAAAGCTTAGATTTCACGAAACTTTGTCCCCTAGTGGCACAGCGTTATGTCTGCGGACTTACAACGCTAGAAAGCAGGTTTCGATACCCATGGTGAGCAGAGCACAGATAGCCTATTGTGTAGCTTTGTGCTTAATTACAAACAAACACAAATCTTTAAATAGTTTCAAAAATTGAAAACGCTCCATTAATTATGACGTTAAGGGATATTTCATTTACGTTGTAGCGCCATCTAGTAGCATTAATCTTTTAAATAAATTAAACATGTCAGGAGTCTGAAAGAAGTTCGTTGAAACATGACGACAGCTGACAACCGAAACGTCAAACTTTAGTATTTTCTAGAGGCTTTACATAACCTGATTTCAATTTTAGCTCTCAAAATAAATTAGTGTTGTATTGAGAAATTTATTTTTTTATATCAGCAGTCTCTGTGTGTTTTATCATAGCAAAGCCACATAGGACTATTTGTTGTGTCCACCAAGGTGAACAAAAACGCTTATTCTAGTACCGTAAATCCGAAGACTTACCGCTGTCCCACCGGGGGACTATGTCAGTCGTCGTTCAAAAATTTTAAAGTACATTTTCTCAGTCAGATTTATTTACCACTTTTTGTTGACAAAGAGATTCTTTAGATGTGTATACTTTACTTTATCCTTCCTATATCATCGTAAGTCCTGAGAATTTATTTCTGGATATTCTCCAAAAATATTCAATTGTCATACAAAACTGACAACTTTTAAGACTGTATATAATTCTTCAAACTGTTATCTAAAAACTTAAAGAATAAAAATTATTTGTGACCCAATTATAGGATTTTCCTTAACGCAATTTGTTATCACGTTTTTCAAAATAATGAATTTATGCATTCTGTATTACAACCATGTAAGTAATACATGACCCACTCCTTAAAAAGTGTGGCCCGGCCCGGCATGGTCAGATTATTAGGGCTCTTGACTCGCAATCTGAG